TAATCCCCCGTTTTGCGACGCTCCCACTCCTTTGCCGCCACGCCTATAGACCGCCCGCACTGCCCTAGCAGAGATGGAGACAGTGATAGCGGGTCCGCGACACTAATCTCTAAAGCATGAGCCTCCCCAGCCATTGGTCGTCGCACCGCTACGTCAACCCGCTTCCCCGGCAGCACCGCACTATCCTCCATCGTCACCACCCCCCCTGACGCCTTAGCGATCTTTGCCACCGCAAACTTCACCTCATCATGCACCCGAGATGGACCGTGTTGGTGCTTGCATCTCAGCGCATGATGCGGGTCTGCTGGGTCATCATACGCTGCGCCACAAACACACTTCCCCGCCACTTGCAGCTGCTGGATTGGGAGACCAAGCCGTATAGCAGCAGCAATGCCCCACTCCGCTGCAGTGAATGTGAGATCTGAATGAGCCGGAACTGCCGAAACCCATGCACCAGCCCCCGGGCCCTGAAGGGATGTGAAACGGGCTAGGGTGGCATCGTCACGAGCCAAGCGGCGGAGTGCCTGGAGCTCCTCAACAGCCAACTGCCGCTGCCGCGCCTGGAAAAGCCGAAGAGGAGGGGCCGCCACACACAGGGGTAAGTCCGGCAGCTCCTGGCGTATAGTCGCGGGCAACTGCTCAATGGCCTTGGCAAACCACGGGTCAAGAAGCTCCGCCCCCGCCGAAGTGGTGAGGTACTCTGCGAACATCGCCTCCTCGCCCGCCACCCCCAAATGTGCAATATCCCGTGCGGCCTGCGCCCACCCACAAACATAGGAGAGCGGACTCAAAGAGGCCGCCGCCCGGATCCCAAACCCTCCGAGGCGCACAGGGAGATGCAGCTGCATGCGTGCGCGCCTAGACCTGCCGGGATCCTGCTCCCAAGTGCCAGGGGGGAAAAGCTGCTCAAAGCAATCCTCCAGACAGCTGTCCCACTCTCTAAAGGCCTCCACCACCTCCGGCCGCGGCGGCATAGTCCGGGCCAGGTACATCGGCCGTGCTGAAACTGCAATAGCGAGGAGATGCGAGGCCATCTGGGGGTGGTCGAGCAGGGGGAGCCACGGCAATGGCGCCTGCAACTCGCGAAGCCGCTTCCGTAATCGGGCCCCCTCCCAATCCTCCTCCCCAATAGGCACGCCCACCACAATAAGACCCTCCTCCTCCCGCTGCATCCCCAAAGGCAATGCCCGCTCCATATCCCCACCTCCACGCTCCCAAAACCTGCACTTGTGCGCCTGCACTTCCAGCCCCACCCACTCCAACCTCTCTCGCAGCACCCCAAAAGCCTCCAGAATCCTAGCCGCTGGTCCCAGGATGTAGGTATCGTCTGCATAGCTCAAGAAAAGTAGGTCCCTGAACTCTCTAGTCACCGTCCCCAGCACCTGCTGCTGCGTGAAAGCGAAAAGAAAAGGGCCGAGCGGGTCCCCCTGTCGCGATCCTCGTGCCGACTCAAGACTCTGTACGAAAGGGCCCGCTCGGAGGTACAGGTCGCTAGGTGTCCCATAGAAGACACGCAAGAATGGGATCATTCCTGAGAAAGGCGACTCCTTCAGCCCCTCGAACATCGCGTGGCGATGAAACGAATTGAAGGCGTTCGCGACATCTATCTGCAGCGCACACCAGTCGGGGTGAGTGGCCAGCGCTGACCGGAAAGAATGAGTAAGAATCTCCACCCCGGCCCTGGTGCCCACTCCCAGCTGGTTACACGGCAGAAAATAAGAAGCCATCACAGGGCGAAGCGAGATGCAGAGAGCTCGAGCGAGGATACGCGGAAGCACCTCCCCGATCGCCACCGGCCGGACGTCACCGTTGGGTTTGGAAAGCCCGACTAGGTTGGATGCGGCGAGCCAGGGCCGAGCTCGCTCGGGGACCTGTCCCGCCACCCATTGGTTGAACACTTCCAGCAGGTGGGAGAGGCAGGAAGGTTCCGTGAGGAAAGTGTCGCGCAGATGCTCTGTGACCCATCCCGATGGCCCTGCAGCTGAGGCGCGAGCAGCTGTGTGGATAGCTCTAGCCAGAATGTCGGTCGTGAGTGGAGGCCGCTGAGGAGCGTCGACAGTAAACTCACGAACCCACGGTGGTACCTCGCCACTGCTAGCTGGGTGCTTCCCTCGCAGCGACTGCACCATAGCCTCAGACGGTCGAGCCAACTCTCCTGCTGTGAGGCAAGACAAACCACGGCTCCACTCTCCCACTTTACACCGAGATCGGCACCGTGACAGGCGGATGGCCTCCGGGTCCTGGTCAGAGCACGTGTAGGCAAGTGGGCGAACTGCTGGCCGTGCCGCCGCCATGGCAGCGTCGAACAACTCCCGCCACCTCCCCTCCCAGAAGGCCCCCAGCCGCTCTATGATCAGCGCCTTCTGACCTATGCCTGGCTTGGGAGGCACGGCTAGGATGAGGCGCGGAAACGCCAGGAGTAGGAGGGTAGCAGCTTCATCTCCCGGTCGGCTCTTCAGCCGCTTCAAGATGCAACAGAGTGCGTCTAAGACCCCGGACCGGGCCCGCTGCGGGATCCGGCGCACTGTCCTCCCTCCAACCGCCTCCACACAGAAAAATGCCTCCCACTCCCATGACTTAACCCCTGCCCACGCCTCGTCCCCAAATTCCCGCGGCGTCGGTCGCTCCTGTGTGTCGGTCTCCACCAGAGACGGGATCGAGCCAAGTGCCTGCGCGCGTCTCTCCGCCTCAGCCGCCCGGCATACCCTCATGTGGTTCGCAGCGGCCCCTCTCGTGGCGAACGTGTGGAAACACGTGTCACACGGGAAACGGGGGCATGGGGAAGGCGGACTGGGTGGTTCTCCGTCCGCCTCTGACTCCTCCGCAGTCGCCATGGGGGTATCAAACTCCAAAAGTCGGCACCACTCCTCCAACTGCTGTTCCCGGTCGTCCATCGATCCCCCCCCTGCCTGCTGCGTACCCTGGGGTGCCCCGGGACAGAGCGTGACAGAGCGGCTGTTTTGTTGTTTTTGGGTTGCGTAGCAACCTTATACATTCGTTTTCACTTTTCGGTTGGCTGATGTGAACAGTGAATTTCTCTTATAAATTTTTGTAAGAAATCACTGTTCACATAGCTTCCCCAAACAAAAAAATGAAAACAAATGTTTCCAACCATTCCATAATCGTCGATAAGTACGGCGAATGGAACAATTGGAGAATCGTTCTAGCACTAAAGATGATACGGTACCCAATGACACCCAAACACGAAGGACAACACAAAAAATACCACAGTACCACCGAGAGACACACATACACAAATGACCACAAAAACGATGGTGTACAAGAACCGTCGTATATGTTTTGAAGGGAATACTAAGTGCATCAATGCAACAACAGAGACTGATACCGTCAGCCCCCGGATAGAAGCGCCCCTGGGGGTATAAAAAAACACTGTTTTTTAGGGGGTGCGCTTATAATTGAGGAATTTTATAAGAGCCGGCGCTTATAAAATGGCAAAGCAAGTTTATATTTGTTTTACACCAATCTGTACACCTTGTTCTGCCAATTGTAATCGAGTCGAATATATCTGGGGTCGCGAATCTGATTCTCGCGCAACTTACGGTAGCAGGGATGTATTCCCTGCCAACACATGCTGACTAAGCGACAGCAAGTGCTGACTAGACGCGCAGCAAGTGTGATGTGAGTGGGAAAGTGGACCTGTACTTCGATTCCCTGGTAAAGAGAAATTCGTTTCTGCGTTTCGACTGATTTTCAGATTAAAAAATAGACATGCGCTTATAATAAATCAGAATTTTTTAAGGGGTGCGCTTATAATCGAGGACCGGATATAAGCGCCCTCATCCTTTTATAAGCGCCGGCGCTTATCCGAGGCCTGCGCTTCTATCCGGGGGCTTACGGTATGGTGCGGAAGAGGCGAGCAAAGCTGCCCCACCGACGATCACAATCCCAGTTGCATACACGAGACACTTAGCACCACACCCCCGAAACAAGCACAGACGATAACACATAAATGATTACAAAAACAGAAGACAACATTTAAGAATGTTTCAAAGCGAATGCTAAATGCATCAGTGCTGCAACTAAGATTGATATGGTACGGAAGAGGCTAGCAAAGCTGCCCCACCGACGATCACAATCCGAGTTGCATTCACGAGGCACTTAGCACCACACCCTGAAGCACGCACAACATACGTATGCACATGTACGCACTCACACACATACAAGCTCACACATATACAGACACACACAACACAAAAACATACAGCTACTGTAATAAGCATGCAAGCATAATGAATGAATTTCAGCCTTGTATTAATTATCACTATCCTGTCCCCCGTTCCCCTCCCTCCCTCCCTCCCTCCCTCCCTCCCTCATTTCCCTCATCTCCCTTCTCCCCATCCCTTTTCTCCGCAAGAAACAAAGGCTGCAGCTTGAACTCCCTGCACAGGAAAGAAAAATCAGCGAATGCAACTCACTCCCTGCACAAACAAGAACAAAATCAGAGAATACAACTTGCATTAGTTGCACAAGAAAAAAAAATTCAGAGAATGCAGCTTCCTTGATGCACCAAAGAACAAAGTAAGCGCAACAGAAATTCACGCGCAAACTCCCACGTTCTCTCACGCGCTCCCTCATGCGCAAACTCGCGCGCTCTATCACGCGCACTCTCCCACACGCTCTTTTGCACACACTCTTCCGCGCTCTCTCTTGCGCACTCTCTCGCGCACTCTCTCACACACTCTCACACGCTCCCTCACGCGCTCTCTCACGCGCTCCCTCACGCGCTCTCTCCCTCGCAATGTCTCACTCGCACTCTCACGTGCACCCTCACTCACGCGCTCCCTCGCACGCTCTCTCAGGCGCGCTCGCTCTCACGGGCTCTAACACGCACTGCCACGCGCTCTCTCACGCGCTCTCTCACGCGCTCTCTCACGCGCTCTCTCACGCGCTCTCTCACGCGCTCTCTCTCGAACTCTCTCACGCGCTCTCTCACGCGCACTCTCACGCGCTCTCTCACGCGCACTCTTATACGCTACCTCATGCGCTACCTTACGCGCTCTCTCACGCGCTCTCACACGCTCTCTCACGCGTTCTCACACGCACTCTCACACGCGCTCTCACAAGCTCTCTCACGCGCTCTCACGCGCTCTCTCAAGCTCTCCCTCGCGCTCCGCGTCTCTCCCTTTCTTCACGAAGAGAGCTACGCAAGAGAAGACCAATCGACACACAATAATTACGAGGAGAGCAAAAAACGAGGAGAGAAAAATGTCAAACATATATTTATATGTTAGAGTTATTTGTTAGGCTTAGTGGGGTTGACTCTAGGGGGTTGTTTCCTTAGGGTTTGTACTCTCGACATTTCTTCCTTAGTCAATTTTTTCACTCGACGTTTCACATGGTATAGATCTAGGAAACTTCCTTGGGCCCACCTATTAACTCGTTTTTTTTTTAGTTTAGGGAAGCGCGCGTGCCCGAGTCGCGCCTCGTGTGTGCCCCCTACCGTCGCGCCCTCCCACGGCCCCTCACGGCCCCTTAGCGTCGCCCTTAGCGACCGCATTCACGGCCCCTCGCGCCACCCTTTGGCCTCTCGCGCCACCCTTACGGCCCCTCGCGCCGCCTGTTAGGCCCTCTACGGCCCCTTACGCCGCACGTAGGCCCCTCGCGCCGCCCTTAGCGGCTCCTTACGGCCCCTCGCGCCGTCATTTACGGCCCGTAGTGCGGCCCCTTTGCCCATTACGGCCCTCCCCTGCCCTCCGCGGCCCCTTGTGCTGCTCTCTCATGGCGCGTCACCGAACCTCTGCGGCCCCTCGCGCCGCCCTTCCCGGCCCGACGTCGCCGCTTTCCCACCAGCAGCGGCCACCACAGCTTCTGCAGCTGCAGCTGCCGCCGTCCCTGCAGTGGAAGCCGCAGCTGCTGTGGCCGCCGCTGTCCCTGCAGCTGCAGCCGTTGCTGTCCCTGCAGCAGCCGCCGCCGCCGTGCCTGCAGCTGCCGCCACTGCTGAACCTGCTGCACCTACCGCAGCCGACACTGCAGCAGCTGCCGCTGCCGATTCTGCAGCTGCTGCTGCCACCGTACCTGCAGCAGCTGCTGCTCCTGAACCTGCAGCAGCTGCCGCTCCTGAACCTGCAGCAGCTGCCGCTGCAGGACCTGTAGCAGCTGCTCCCGCCAGGCCTGCAGCAGCTGCCGCCGCCGGACCTGCCGCAGCTGCCGCCATCGGATCTGCAGCAGCTGCAGCTGCCGGACCTGCCGCAGCTGTCACCACCGGACCTGCCCCAGCAGCAGCTGCTACTGCAGGTGCGGCCGCCGCTACTGTCCCTGCAGCTGAGTTGCGGCCCTCCTCTGCCGCCTCGCTGCACCCCGGCCCGCCCCTGGTAAGCACTCACCGAGCCGCACCGCACTGCTGTCGCTAGCCTACTGCTGCTGTCGCTAGCCTACTGCTGTCGCTAGCCTACTGCTGTCGCTAGCCTCCTGCTGTCGCTAGCCTACTGCTGCTGCTGTCATGGCTACTCCCAACGTGCTTACCTTTGATGCTGAGGGTCGGGCGATCGATTTTGATGTCTGGATAGATGACCTGCAGCTTTTCCTGCAGTGCGATAGCAAGCACGACATCTCCCTGTTCGATCTCACTTCTGGTGCCTCTACTGCCCCTGCTGCTGATGACGACAGTACTGTTCGCTCACAGTGGACCACACGCGATGCTGCTGCCCGTCTTGCTGTGCGTAGTCACCTGCCGTCCACTGAGCGCGCGCACTTTAGCCAGTTCAAAACTGCTAAGACCTTGTACGACGGTGTAGTTGCCCGCTACTCCTCCCCTGCCACTGCTGCTCTTAGCCGCCTCATGCTGCTGTACCTGTTCCCTGACCTCGCTGCCTTGGCCACAGTCGCTGACCTCATTACGCACCTTCGCACTAGTGATACCCGCTACCGCGCTGCGCTTCGTGCTGACTTCTGCGCCAAGAACCCCCCCCCCATGTACATCACCCTCTACTACCTAGTCACCCGGCTCCCTGACACCCTTCGCTCGGTCAGGGACCACTTCCTCTCCCTTTGCCCCACCACACTCACTGTTGACCTCCTCGAGGAGCGCCTCTTCGCAGCGGAAAAGAGTATTACCGCTGTGGGTGCTTCTCGTGGTGACCCCCGCACCCCTTTCTTTGAGGGGTGCTCCCCTGTCCCCCTTTTGCCCTCTGTTGCCTCTGCTGCTGCTGTCGACCTCGTTGGCACTGAGTCGGTCGCCGCTGCGTCTGCTCCTACTGGGAGGCGCCGCACCAGCAAGGGCAAGGGGGGCAAGGGTTCGGGAGGGGCGGGCGGGGGCGGTGGTGGTGGCGGTGGGGGCGGCGGGGGAGGTGGGGGTGGGAGTGGTGGGGGGCGTGGGGGCGGCGGTGGTGGCAGTGGAGGTGGAGGCGGCGGTGGCGGCGGTGCGGGTGGAGGAGGCGGAGGCGGCAGTGGAGGTGGAGGCGGGGGCGGCGGAGGCGGCGGGGGTGGAGCTGGTCGGGGTGGTGGTCAGCACCAGCAGCAGCAGCAGCGCTCTCGTGAGACCCCGTCGTCCCAGCAGCTTCGTGAGTGGTACGCTACGCGCCAGCGCCCTGGGGGTCCTGGTCCCTGTGCCTACGTCCTGCGTACTGGTGACCGCACTGGGGAGCCGTGTGGCGGCCCGCACACCACCCAGCGCTGCTTCGGCCGCCTGACAGACGCCTGGCGTATCCGGTTCCCTGACGCCACTGAGATCCCTCGCTGGGGTGACTTGCTTAGGTCTGGAGTAGCTATCTTTGATCTTGACTTTGATGCTATCTTTGCTGCGATGTATGCTATCTCTGATAGTGCTGAGGGTGACTGTTACCTGTGTGTTCCGCCTGACCCGGGCATTGAGGCTGCTGCTCTAGGTGCTAGTGCGTCTGCTCCCCCAGGTCCTGGTGAGGCCGCTGCCCTAGGTGCTCGTGCGTCCGTCCCCCCCCAGGTGCTGGTGAGGCCGCTGCTTTAGGTGCTAGTCCGACTCCTGCCTCAGGTGCTGGTGAGTCTGCTCTCTCAGGTACCGCGTCGGCTCAGGCCTTGCACACCTTCACCCTTGACTCGGGTGCTTCCCGCTCCTTCTTTCGCGACTACACCACACTCACGCCGCTTAGTCGGCCGGTTGCAGTCTCCCTGGCAGACCCCTCTGGGGGTCCTGTCCTTGCTCACTACTCCACTGTCCTACCGTGTCCGGCTGCCCCCTCTGGCTCCCTGTCGGGTCTTTACCTTCCCTCGTTCTCTACGAACTTGGTGAGTGGTGCTGACCTACAGGATGGGGGGGTTGACCAGTTCACTCCTGCGCGTCAGCGGGTGACTCACTGTACGTGTGCTCACAGACACTGGCCGTCCCTTGGCTACGTTCACCCGCCAGCCGGGGTCTAGTCTGTACACACTTACTACTGCGTCTCCTTCTGTTCCTGCGTCCGGTCAGGTAGCTGCGTCGGGTCAGGTGTTTGCTGCGTCGTCCCGGTCTGGCCCTGAGTCTGCCCCCTGCTCGTGTCGCCTCCTGTCTCACGAGACTCTCCTCTGGCACCACCGCCTGGGCTACCCCTCCCTGCCCCGTCTTCGGGGTATGGCCTCCCGTGTCCTTGTCTCTGGTCTCCCCCGGTCCCTCCCTCCCCTTCCTCCGGGGCCTGCCCCTACCTGCGTTCCCTGCGTTGAGGGGCGGCAGCGCGCCGCTCCTCACTCTTCCGAGTTTCCACCGACAGAGGCTCCGCTGCAGACGCTTCACATGGACGTGTGGGGCCCCGCCCGCGTCCGTGGACAGGGTCACGAGCGTTACTTCCTTCTAGTGGTTGACGACTACTCGCGTTACACCGCAGTCTTCCCCTTGCGCAGCAAGGGTGAAGTCACTGAGGTGTTGATCGACTGGATCCGCGCTGCTCGTCTCCAGCTCAGGAAGAGTTTCGGCTCGGACTTTCCTGTTCTGCGTCTGCACTCCGACCGAGGCGGAGAGTTCTCCTCTGACCTTCTGAGAGCCTTCTGCCGTGCGAGGGGCATCCGCCAGACGTTCACGCTTCCGGCCTCTCCACAGCAGAATGGGATTGCTGAGCGCCGCATTGGCATGGTCATGGACGTCGCTCGTACGTCCATGATCCATGCGGCTGCTCCCCATTTTCTGTGGCCGTTTGCGGTTTAGTACGCGGCGCAGCAGATCAACCTTCAGCCCCGTGTCTCCTTGCCGGAGACCTCCCCCACCATGCGGTGGACGGGGAAGGTTGGCGATGCGTCTGCGTTCCGTGTCTGGGGATCTCGGGCTTTCGTTCGAGACTTGTCTGCGGACAAGCTGTCCTCCCGTGCTGTTCCCTGCGTCTTCCTTGGCTTCCCCCCTGACGCGCCTGGTTGGCAGTTTTACCACCCCACCTCGCGCCGTGTTCTGTCCTCCCAGGACGTCACGTTTGACGAGTCGGTTCCTTTCTACCGTCTCTTCCCCTACCGCACTGCCCCCCTCCCCCCTCCGCCGCTCTTCCTTACCCCAGGTCCCCCCCCGGTAGCCCCCCTCCCCCCTCAGGGTCCTGCCCCCTCAGGTGTGTCCCAGGTAGACGCAGTCGAGCCTGTCGAGGTAGCTGTTGACTCTGGTGCTGCTGGGGGTGCTGCGCCTGCGGGTGCCGGGTCTGGAGGTGCTGAGCCTGTGTGTGCGGAGTCTGGGGGTGGTGGGACTGGGGGTGCTGGGACTGGGGGTGCTGAGTCTGGGGGTGCTGAGCCTGAGGGTGCTGAGTCTGGGGGTGCGGAGCCTGGGGGTGCGGAGCCTGGAGGTTCTTCGGGTGCTTCGCCTAGGAGGGAGCTCCTCTCTCCACTGGAGCTGCGTGAGTGGTTTGCTCGGCGTTGGAGTCGTGCTGCTGGGGCTGGTGTCGCTGCGGGTACTGGAGGTTCTACTGCTGCTGAGGGTGTTGGAGTCACAGGTGCCGGAGGTGCTCGTACTGGAGGTACTGGAGCTGCTGGGCCTAGTGGTTGGTGCTGGTGGGGTTGGTAAAGCTGGAGGTACAGGAGCCGGTGCTGCTGGGTCACCTGGTGGTCTTCTTGGCGCTGGTGCTGCTGGAGGTTCGAGAGCTGGTGGTGCTGCTAAAGCCGGTGCTCCTGGGGGTGCTGGAGTTGGCGCTACTGGTGCTGCTGCAGGTCTTACTGGAGTTGGACCTGCAGCTGAGGGTGCTGGTGCTGTCCCTGCTCCTTCTGGAGGTGCTGCGCGGCCTCGGCCGTACTTCGTTCCCCTCCTTCAGCAGGTTCTTGGCCTTCCGCCTTCCTCTGGTCCTTCTCCTGCCTTAGAGTGTCCACAGCCGGTCCCCTCCGAGTCACAGTTACAGCTTGCCGGTCCCCTGCCTGCCCCTTCACCCTACGCTGGTCCTACTGGAGGTCTTGCTGAGCGTCGTGAGCCTGCGTCGCGTCCTACGTCGCCTGTTCGTGCTGTTCGCACCGGTCGCCGTGTTCCGCGTCAGCGTCCTCCCGCGGTCCCAGGCACGCACCAGATGGCACTGCGTCCCTCCACTGCTCCACAGCGTGTCCCTCTGCCGTCTCCTCCTGCGTCCTCGCTTCCTGCCCTTGCTGACCCGGAGTCTGACTCTCTGCGTGCTGCCAGTCCGACTGTCACGCGTCTCCTAGCCACTGCTGTCACAGACCCTTCTTTTGAGTCCACTGCTGCGTCTGCCCTAGTTGCTGAGCTTGTCGACTTCGCTGCTCGCTGTCGTCTAGACTACGCTGCTAGTCTCGTTGCTGAGTCTGAGTCTGTCTGTCCTCCGTCCGTCGGGGGTGAGTGTGCCCTTGGCACGGACGTCCTTGAAGACAGGCAGGAGGAGTTCCAGTGTTTTGCTGCTGCTTTGCCTCATCTCGTGTCCATGCTGATTGCCCCTGAGGGAGACCCGGATGCACCAGACATCCCGACTCCTCGATCGTACGCTGAGGCGATCGAGGGTCCCTACTCCTCTCAGTGGCAGACAGCCATGGACGCAGAGATGGCTTCCTGGAAGTCCACAGGCACCTACGTTGACGAGGTTCCCCCACCTGGGGCGAACATCGTCAGTGGCATGTGGATCTACAGGGTGAAGCGGCCGCCGGGTTCTCCGCCTGTCTTCAAGGCGCGCTACGTGGCTAGGGGCTTCAGTCAGCGGCAGGGGGTTGACTACTTTCAGACCTTCTCTCCCACCCCGAAGATGACTACTCTTCGGGTGCTGCTGCACATAGCCGCTCAGCGCGACTACGAGCTTCACTCTCTTGACTTCAGCACTGCTTTCCTGCAGGGCAGCCTGCACGAGGAGATCTGGCTGCGCCACCCTCCTGGCTTCACTGGGTCTTTTCCTCCTGGCACCCAGTGGAGCCTCCGGCGGCCAGTCTACGGTCTCCGCCAGGCGCCCCGTGAGTGGCACGACACACTGAGGACTACACTTGCGGCTCTTGGGTTTGCTCCTTCTACTGCCGACCCGTCGCTGTTTCTGCGCACCGACACCTCGCTGCCGCCATTCTACATCCTCGTGTACGTCGACGACTTGGTCTTTGCCACTGCTGACACTGCTGGAATCGCCCACGTGAAGTCCGAGCTGCAGAAGAGACACATGTGCACTGACCTGGGTGAACTGCGCAGCTATCTTGGCTTGCAGATCACCCGGGACAGAGCACGCCGCACCATTACTCTGACTCAGTCACATATGGTGCAGCAGGTCCTTCAGCGCTTCGGCTTCACGTACTCCTTGCCTCAGGCCACTCCTCTGCCTACTCGCCACTCGCTCTCAGCTCTGCCTTCGGATGAGTCCGTAGAGCCGAGTGGCCCGTACCCAGAGCTTGTTGGCTGCCTCATGTACCTGATGACCTGCACTCAACCTGACCTTGCATACCCTCTTAGCATCTTGGCGCGCTATGTTGCTCCTGGGAGACACCGACCAGAGCACATGGATGCAGCTAAGAGGGTGTTGCGCTACTTGTGCAGTACGTCGGGCATGGGGCTTGTGCTTGGAGGGCGGAGTCCAGTGGTCCTCACTGGTCACGCAGACGCGTCTTGGGTTGACGACCAGGCTACGCAGCGATCGTCACAGGGTTACACCTTCAGCCTTGGTTCCGGCTCTGTTTCGTGGCGGTCTACCCGCTCGTCTTCTGTTCTCGGCTCCAGTTGTGAGGCTGAGATCTACGCAGGGGCCATGGCTGCACAGGAGTTACGCTGGCTCACCTACCTGCTGACCGACCTGGGAGAGCAGCCTCGTTCTCCTCCAGTTCTGTACGTAGACAACAAGGCCATGCTGGCCTTGTGTCGGGAGCACAGACTGGAGCACAGAACGAAGCACATTGCTCTCCGCTACTTTCTTGCTCGTGAGCTGCAGCAGCGTGGTCAGCTGCGCCTTGCTTACGTGGCCTCTCGGGCCAACACTGCTGATATCTTTACCAAGGCACTTCAGCCTTGTGATCATCAGCGCTTCTGTACGATGTTAGGTCTTGTGCCTACCTGGCCTCACTTGCTCACCTCTTGACCTTGCTTGTACTGTGATCTATATATACCTGTACTTGTTTGCTTACCTTCATATATATGATCCTGCATGTGAACTGGCCTTGTGGCCTTGAACTTGTGCTCGGAATGTGTGGTGACGTTGTGATCCACCCTGAGCTTGTTTACTTTGCTTGACTGGTCTTGTGACCCCTTGTTCTCCCCCACTTTGCCTATGGGGGTGTGTCAAACATATATTTATATGTTAGAGTTATTTGTTAGGCTTAGTGGGGTTGACTCTAGGGGGTTGTTTCCTTAGGGTTTGTACTCTCGACATTTCTTCCTTAGTCAATTTTTTCACTCGACGTTTCACAAAAAAAACAAACAGACAAAAAAGTTTTTTCAGAGGGAGGAGGGAGGATGAAAGGACCGGGAACGCACCAGATAACCACAGTAACTCAGAAAACAACCCGGGCTCGCGCACCAATCCGCGATCGTGCACCAACTCGCGCTTGCGCTCGTGCACCTGTCGCCGGAGGCGACGGCGGGGAGGAGGAAGAGGCGACGGCAGGGAGGAGGGAGAGGCGACGGCGGGGAGGAGGGAGAGGCGACGGCGGGGAGGAGGGAGAGGCGACGGCGGGGAGGAGGGAGAGGCGACGGCGGGGAGGAGGGAGAGGCGACGGCGGGGAGGAGGGAGAGGCGACGGCGGGGAGGAGGGAGAGGCGACGGCGGGGAGGAGGGAGAGGCGACGGCGGGGAGGAGGGAGAGGCGACGGCGGGGAGGAGGGAGAGGCGACGGCGGGGAGGAGGGAGAGGCGACGGCGGGGAGGAGGGAGAGGCGACGGCGGGGAGGAGGGAGAGGCGACGGCGGGGAGGAGGGAGAGGCGACGGCGGGGAGGAGGGAGAGGCGACGGCGGGGAGGAGGGAGAGGCGACGGCGGGGAGGAGGGAGAGGCGACGGCGGGGAGGTAAGGAAGAGGAGATCGCGGGGTGGGACTGAGTGACCGTGAGGTGAAAAGTAGAGGTGAAGGCGGGTAGTAAGGGAGAGGATACGGCGGGATGGGAGCAAGAGCGACGGCTGGGTAGGAGAACTGGCGAGAAATTGGGGTGGGGGGAAAGTAGAGGAATAAAGAGCAGAGCAGGTGTGCTTGTCGAGTCGAGAGGAACCAGAACAAAAGAACCAAGAAAAGAGCGCAGAAATCGAGTTGACAGCTGTGACAGGCACGGATGCCAGCGCAGAGATAAAATTTCTGCCAGCGCAGAATGAGAATTTCTGTCTGCGCAGAACAAGACAATTTCTGCCACCGCAGAACGAACAATTTTTGCCAGCGCAGAACGAAGCACCATATACGGTATCCTGTTTTAAGTTAAAATGAAGAACTTAATTAATTTGCTTCTTTAAGCAAAATATGATTATATTGTACTCTTTCATAATGTTCCTTACACACGGAATACAGCTCTACGCAACCCATCCGACGTCAACGTCGAGTCTTGTTTGTGTTTGGGTACGGTTTCGAGCAGATTTGAACTCCTAAGACACGCCCTAAGCCATAAAGAAAGAAACTGTTAGATACGGTAACTATGGTAGACTGGTACACTTGAAGTTGTAATGGATATTGTTACAGAAAATTAGACTGGCCAACCAGCTATGACAAATGGAAAACACGACCGACGGGTATGTAGTCTACGTGTTTATGTATGTGCACATGTACGTACCTGTAATCACCCGGATATAAGACCCCCCCCCAGTTGTAGACCCCCGGGTCTATAATACGGACGTGGGTCTTATATTTGGGTAAGTTTTTGTTATACCCCCCTTTTTGGCTGAAAACATTATAAGACTCCCCACCTTTACATCGAACGTGTGATTTTATAATATAATAGAGTCGTTTTGTGAAGGAGAGCATAATGTTTCCCCTTCGGATGAAATCACGTGGGCATTGCACCGTCAATTTTGTGCATTCTTTTGTTTTTTCCGACATTACGAGGCTCATGAATCAAAGCTTGACCAGTTGCGAGGGTGATGCCACCTGGCAAATGCCTGACTGTGCGATTCTCATGGTCTTGCTTTGAGATTCGTTTGACTTGATTGGCTATGTGGTTGTCCAATCAGAGAGCAATATCTGGATTTCACATTCACAAACAGTCGTCACAAAAACATCCTCGACGTACCGTCATACCCCGGATATACCCCCATGGGGGGCAATAATAAAACATGTTTTTTTAGGGGGGGTGGGCTTATAATCGGGTAAATTTATAAGCGCCGGCGTTTATAAAACGACATCTATAATTGATATATTTTTTAACACCAAGCTGTAGATCTCGTGCTTGCCTTTTCCAATCGAGTCGAAGTTCTGTGAAACTTCTCGCGCGCGCTGGAGATACACCCACTCTGACAGCTCCTGACAGCTTCTGACAGCTTCTGACAGCCCCTGACTGCTCCTGCTGACTGGACCCGCACCCAGTGCAGGGTCCGAATGTGAAGGGAAGCGAATCTGCAACACATTCCCCTGCTAAAGTAGGAATCGTTACAGTGTTTCGAACACAATTCAAAAATTAAAGTTTACGTGAGCTTATAATAAAACAAGTTTTTTCAGGGGGGTGCGCTTATAATCGAGCACCGGATATAAGCGCCGGGCGCCGATTAAAAGCGCCAGGCGCTTATCCGCGGGTGGCGCTTATATCCGGGGTATGACGGTACCGCTTTTCTGGAATCTACAAACGAATCAAACACCAACATGAGCTTTGCATTCAAATACAAGTGAAAAAAACATGTTCATTTGTTAAGACCCGGGTCTTATATTACTATGACAATATGAGAAGACCCCCCACCATTTTTTCCCGTAGTTTTCATAAGACCCTAGGGTCTTATATCCGGGTGATTACGGTATGTGAACGTTTGTACACATGCAATTGGTGCGTGTGCTTACATATGCGTGCATGCGATGACGCAATGCTGACACATGACACAGTTCTGTTCTCATTACTGGTAATATAGTTTTGCTATGCATCAACTTGATGAAGGGTATGCTTGGGAATATTGAGAAACTAGTTTTGACACTAGGACAGCTTCCATTGTGTAAAGCCAATATGCACTTGGGGCCCTCATGATAGCTGATGCTGTGTTGCGCCTGTTGATATTCTCATTCGAGTGTAATGATAATCATAGAACCTCATGAGCCTTGCCGTAATATCGGTTGATGTAGTTGGCCTGCAGATAGATGAAAAATGTGGGAGCAACGAAGCACCCATTACGCAAACACAAAGGAGAAAGAAGTCGGGGAGACATAAGGAGGATGGTAAGGAAGCAGATATTGAGAAATTTTGAGCATGCTGAGCAGATGGTGATACATGTTCGGTGGGAGTTACCCGGTAAACCCTAAACCCGAAACCAAAATCCACATTCCGACACAAGCCGATACATCTCCAACAGCATGAGCTTTTAGCAAAAACATGGTGCACAAACAAAGGCCAAGTAATGCAGAGAAGCCACATGGACAGACATATGCAGTACCTTGAACTGGGAAATATCGGGCGTGTCTTCACTCTGCTTGGGGTAGAACTTGAGGAACCGGAGGTTCTTGAGTGCTTCCAGGCGCTCCTCCCCCATGTCCTCTATCGCTTTCTTCCGCTCCTCCCGCTCCTGACGCAACATGAGATGAACACAGTGAAGGAGAAATGAAGTGAGCTGAACGCGGAATGCACCACACCACAGGGAAGGGAGAAGCAAGTCCATAGAAGGACCAGGAACGCCATCGTCCTGGCAAGCATTCACAAAGACAGGTGATGGCGTTCCAAGTCAACAGAAGATCCAGCCGGAGAAAACTATGGAGACCAAGCCATGCCATTCGGCTGAAACACAGCACCGCAGTTCTGGCCTGCTGTGACAGCCTTTTCATGACACCCAGAAACAACACATGTGCTTGGCATGCGGTAACCGTACATCCACATCATCTACGTTCATCTATTACCAGTGAATTCAGTTACCATGTCCTTTTCCACTTCCCCCAACACATGCTGTATTTCTCACCTTCTTTGCCTTAAGCTTGGCCTCCTTCACCTCCTTCTTCACATACTCCTGCAGAGATGCGCCCACAGTTGAAAGAGAACGGGAAGGAAGAGAGCACCAACAGTTGAGAACGACATGGGAGAAAGAAGATGGTTTGTTTAGGTCCGGACTCTTTCAGCTGCTTCACGTACTTGTGGTGCAATTAAATAAGATGGGCGGCGGACAGACGTGCAGTGCTTCCATTCTAAGTTGGAAAAAACGCGTTTAGCGTTTTGTACGATTTTGTATATACGCTAGAGTATATACGCAAAACGCAGGCCATGCGGGGTCTGGTACGCACAAGAATACGCTTGCCCGGGCAGGAAAAAAGTTTTCCCCGGGCAGCTTTTTGGGGTAAGAGTGGGGGATGGGGGGGTGTTGTAACCCCCATCCCCTTTTTATTAATATGACAGTTACAGGAAAAAAAACCCTTAAAACTAATCTGCCACTTCTACTTCCCCCACCTTAATCATGCTACTACCACCCCTCCCTCCCCCTACTCCACACAGGTACACCCTTAATCTGCTGCCCCCCACACATGCATGGTGCCTTCAATCCACTAGTACTCATCGGCCATCACATCATCCTCCCCCTCCTCAGGTTCCTCCACCTCCTCCTCGATGTTGTAGCCAGCCGGAGTGGGGGGCTCCTCGATGTTTCCCTTCACCACCCCTTGCCCTTCAGGGACCTTGTGCCAATTGTGCACAGCCTGCCAATTGTGCGTCACGTACACGAGGTCCCGAAGCTTCTCCGCGCCGAGACGGTTCCGGCGTGCCGTATGCACGGCATCAAACTTCGCCCAGTTCCGCTCGCATGGAGACGCGGACACCGGCTGCGTGAGCATGCGGCAAGCAAGCGTGGTGAGCTCGGGATGTTCGGTCCCGTGCCACGACCACCAGGCCACCGCGGTCATCTTGCCCTCCTTCACTGCCGCACGGTCGGCAATAGCGTCGGGCATGCCGAAGCAGCCCGTCAGGTTCAGGAAGGCAGTGAGGCCTTCCTGGATGACGAGGGAGGCATGGCGCTCGACCCCGTCCTTCCTGGTGATGGTCTGGTCGTCGAAGTGCTTAGACACAAACTTCTTGAAGACCCTCGTGCACTCGAGGTCATGGCGGAAGATGCCCTCTTCCTGGTTGGTGGGGTTGAGGATGCGACCAACCACGTGCATGTCGCACGCCAGGCCGTTGTCCCAGCGGTCCTGCACGATCTTCCGAATATCTCCCACCTCTCCCCCTGTCAGGACCCCTTCCGCGTGCTCGTCGAGGAAGTCGCGGATGCCCTCGGTGAGCTGGAGCATGAGGTCGTAGAGACGACCCATCATGCCCTTTGCATCCGAGTCCGTCTTGCGCATGACGACGAACGGGAGCTTAGTCAGCTTCGCGAAGAACTCCGCGCGCGTCCACCACGTGTCATCGAGGATGTTGCTCTTGAAAGTATCTGCCCCAACCCTCTTTGCAGCCGCAGTCCACTCGACCCACTCATCGCTGAGGACGATCTACGTCAGGCCGGAGCGCACTTCACAGAGGCGGTTGATGGTGATGTAGTTGGTGCCGAAGCGGGTTCCCGCGGGCTTCAGAACCTGCTTCCCCTTGCCGCCGTTCACGAGCTTGCTCCGCATGTAGCCGCGGCTGAAGTGATGGTTGCGGACGAACGAGATGAGGGTGTCCCCGCGCGTGACGATGTCCTTCGCCCATCCCATTTTCCCGATGTCCTCCATCAGGAGATCAAGGACATGGGTCGCGCAAGGGATGTGTTCGATGTGGGGATACTCCGTCATCAGCTCCCTGCAGGCCGCCGCGTAGTTGGAGCCGCCGTCAAAACACAATGCGACGACATTCTCGGCGCCAACCTTCTCGATGACGGGGCGCAAGATGCTCGCGATGTAGCCGCCGGTCTTCATCTCCATCTTGGTGTCGATCGACTCCACGAACACGGCGCCGCTATCGTTGATGAGGAGCACATTGGCTTGCGGGCGGCCAGCCTTGTCAGAGAACATGTCGGCTTGCAACGGTGACGCCGTCACGACGCCAGCTTGCTGATATAGGAGCGAGCGCCGCCTCAATGCGCTGGCGACACTTTGCAAGACCGGTGCCACCGATGTAGCGTCTCTTCGGCGCGACGTAATTCGGCCTCGCGCGCTGGATGCTGGAGACCACATTCCGCCACAGTGGGTGGTCCGCGTGATGCTCCGGCACATGAAGAGCGGCAAAGAAGAGGCTTATGGCCTCGTCCGCAGCTTGGTTTGCGCACGCGGCGTCGTCGCCGTAGAAGTCGGTCATTCGACTCTTCTTTTTGTCCGAACCTCCGCCGTTGACTGCGTCGACCGCCGCAATTTCAGCCGCACGCTTCGCTTCACGGGCCTTCAACTTGGACTCGTAAAGCGCTTTACGGCGTCACGTGCAGTCTTCGGCGCTGCAGTGCAGAGATGCACTTCGCGACGGCGCATGCCGTTCCAGCTGGTGATATGCTGCGCGCAACGGTAAACCCCGCCAACAAACTTGAAGTTGCAGTAGGCACACACCTTGGTGCCGTTCTCGCCAACGCTATTGGCCGGCACCTTGAAGTGGCGGTAGACTGCGTGCTTGCTGTTCATGCAGACCAAAGACGTAACAGAAGAGGTCCCACCAGCGGAACTACCAGGAGCCTCTGAGGGTGGCGTACGAGAAGTGGTTGCTGTAGGAGTGGAAGCCATGGTGGCTTGGGAAAGGAGGTAGCTAGAATAGGAAGCAAGAGAATGAATGTCGAGGGAACAAACGCCTCTCTTTATGCCTGGGAGATTGGGTTGGGTTGAGCTCCCAACCAGTAAAGTAGCACTTGGAGGGGATGGTGGAATGCAGTGGTTCAAAGGGGTGTGAAACGGTGGAGGGGAGGGGTTGATGAGGTTTGGTGCTCGAAATTCAAATTTTGGGTTCATTTCGCGACATCTGCGACTCGGAATTGAGATCGCCACGTCGCAAGCTTCAGATTGAAATTTTGTTTTGTAATTTTTTTTTTTCGGTCTGCCCGAAATTCAACTCGGCGAATTTTCAAACTATACGCAACGAACGAATTCGACAAGAGTATAAACGCAAAACGCAAAATGAAAGTAGCGTATATTCCAACTTAGCTTCCATTGCAGATGGTAGACATGGCAGACAGGGGCATATGCATGTGGACATACATGAATGCATGGCATGATATGGTATGGTACGGTAGGGTACAGTACGGTATGGTGTGGAATGGTATGGTATGGTATGGTATGGTATGGTGTGGTATGGTATGGTGTTGTATGGTATGGTATGGTGTTGTATGGTATGGTATGGTATAGTATGTTATGGTATGGTATGGTATGGTATGGTATGGTATGGTATGGTATGGTATGGTATGGTATGGTATGGTATGGTATGGTAGGGTACGATACGGTACGGTACGGTACGGTATGGTATGGTATGGTACGGTACGGTATGGCATGGTGTGGCATGGTATAATACGGTGTGGTACCGTATGGTACGGTATGGTACAGTATGAACAATATAGAATATATATAGAATATATATATATATATATATATATATCACAGTATGGGCGCGCGCACTGACAATGAACTTGGCCTTCTCCGCTTCTGGTAGCGACTCGTCCTTGATGAGGTTGTCTGTGAACTCCTGCGCACGGCAGGCAGGCAACGATGGAGTAGCGTGGCACGAGGGGGGTGGCGGGAGGAGGGGAGGGGACGAGGGACAAGGGTGGAGGGAGGAGCGGAGGAGGGAGGAGGGAGGAGGGAGGAGGGAGGAGGGAGGAGGGAGGAGGGAGGAGGGAGGAGGGAGGAGGGAGGAGGGAGGAGGGAGGAGGGAGGAGGGAGGAGGGAGGAGGGAGGAGGGAGGAGGGAGGAGGGAGGAGGGAGGAGGGAGGAGGGAGGAGGGAGGAGGGAGGAGGGAGGAGGGGGAGGGGTGAGTGTAGGGAGAAGGCAGGTGCTGGTCTTTCACAACCACCCGAGGTAATACCACCCTCAGCACTGGTCAGTCTCACATACCACCATCCCCCCCTCACACACACACACACACACACACACACACACACCATCCCCCTCACACACACACACACACACACACACACACGCACCATCCCCCCTCACCAACTCCACCATCCCCTCCATCCCCCAACACCCACCCATCCCCACACCCGCACACACGCACACACACCTTAACCCACAAGCACACACACCCTAACCCACAAGCAGAGAGAGCGTCTCACCTCGTACTCGTCCATCTCCCAGTCATACTCCGCCAGCAGCTGCCAGGGCGTGGGAGAGAGTGTGAGACAGGGCGTGGGAGAGAGTGTGAGACAGGACAATGCAGGGAGAAGAAGAAAAGCCCACAAAAGCAAGTATTCAGTGCAGAGTCCAAATGGTCGCACAACGCCCTTTGAGTGATTTCAGGAGAGGAGCAGAATCAGCCCACTCACCAGTGCAAACGAAAGAGCAGGGAGGTGGTTACCGGGGGAGGTGTTTACCGGGGGAGGTGGTTACCGGGGGAGGTGGTTACCGGGGGAGGTGGTTACCGGGGGAGGTGGGTTCTCTCCTTCAAAGGGATACATGATAGACACCACCGTGTCCCCCTCCTGCTCCTCCTGCATGTGCGGTAGGAATATGTCTGATGGGGTGGAGAGGGGAGGACCAGTGGGGGGAGGGGTGGGTTTGGGGGGGAAGAGAGAGTGGGACGACTGTATTACCCTGCTGCTCCTCCTGTATGTGCGGTAAAAAGATGTCTGATGGGGTGGGGGCCACGACGTGTGAGGAAGGGGAGGGGGGGTGGCGTGGCAAGAAGGAGGTGGAGGGAGGGGCCGGTTTGGGGGAGAAGACAGAGTGGGACGACTGAGTCTCCCTCCTGCTCCTCCTGCATGTGCGGTAGGAATATGTCTGATGAGGTGACGGGGGGAGAGCAGGGAGAGCGAGGGTGGAGAAGGAGGAGAGGGGGGATAGCGAAGGGGAGGAGCAAGGATGATAGACACCACCGTGTCCCCCTCCTGCTCCTCCTGCATGTGCTGTGAGGTAGACAGATGCCTGATGGCGTGACGGGGGAGGAACGAGGGAAGGGAGGAGGCAAGGTTGGACAGGGTTGGAGGGGGAGGAGGGGGAGGGGAGATAAAAGAATGACTGGCGCGACCATGCCCACCCACATCCTGCTGGCCCCTCCTGCATGTGCGGGGAGGAAGTTGTTTGGTTGGAGGGTGGGAGAGAAAGAAGGGTGGGGAAGGGGGGGAAGAGAAGGAAGGGAGAGAAGAACGAGTGATGGGTTACATGAGAGACACGAGTGATGGGCAATTTGAGATCAAGCATGCATACATGGCACTCCAAATCGCCACCATGTGGTAACTGCCAGGTTACCATCACGGGTATACATGCAAAAGGCGGATAACAAAGGTGCGGTAACCAGGCAACCATGTGCAGGCACGTACATGGTAAGCACACACTACATGGTAAGCACACACTACATGGTAAGCACACACTACATGGTAAGCACACACTACATGGTAAGCGTGGATAACATAAGTGCGGTAACCAGGTAACCATCTGCAGGCACGTACATGGTAAGCAGTACTCAAACTTCTTCACCCGCTCTTGCTTCATCTGCCTCAACCCCGCCCTGCAGCACACAGCACACAGCACACAGCACACAGCACACAGCACACAGCACACGGCACATTGACCGAACAGTGAGACAGCACTGCTCAAGATGAGCTAAATCTCAGCTGCTGAAAAAACATTCTCAGCACTCATCACTCATAAATCTCCCAAGCACTTAAGAAGGGGGGAGCTCACCTGCGTTGTATGCACTTGAGAGTGAAGATATTCGACCGGTGCCGCCTTAGGTCACTTTTGAGTCAACTCAAAAGTCACCTCGTTACAATGGCACACAGCAAGTAAAAAAGGGGGGGAGCTCACCTGCGTTGTATGCACTTGAGAGTGAATATATTCGACCGGTGCCGCCTTAGGTCGGACCCTCGGCTGCACACAATCACGCATGGGATGACACATGGGATGGCACATGGGATGACACATGGGATGACACATGGGATGACACATGGGATGACACATGGGATGACACATGGGATGACACATGGGATGGTACATGGGATGACACATGGGATGGCACATGGGATGGCACATGGGATGGCACATGGGATGGCACAATGGTCGGTTTAAGATCAGAGGAATCACATGAAAAAGAGAGGCTGGTGGTGGCCGCTGGCACCATCCCCTCCGTCTCAAGACCCTATCCTCCTCCACCCCTACCGTTGAGGTGTATTTTGAGGCGCCTAAATAAAGACAAGAAAAAGAGAGGCTGGTGATGGCTGCTTGCACCATCCCGTCCGTCTCACCACCCTACTCTCCTCCACCCCTACCTCTTTGCTTCACTGGCCCATTGCCCTTGCCCTTGAACCAATGTGATCACATCACACTCACCCAGTGTCACATGTATGGGAGGCCCACCCAGTGGCACATGTATGGGAGGCCCACCCAGTGTCACATGTATGGGAGGCCCACCCAGTGTCACATGTATGGGAGGCCCACCCAGTGGCACATGTATGGGAGGCCCACCCAGTGTCACATGTATGGGAGGCCCACCCAGTGTCACATGTATGGGAGGCCCACCCAGTGTCACATGTATGGGAGGCCCACCCAGTGTCACATGTATGGGAGGCCCACCCAGTGTCACATGTATGGGAGGCCCACCCAGTGTCACATGTATGGGAGGCCCACCCAGTGTCACATGTATGGGAGGCCCACCCCATCTGCACCTACCGCATCACCAATCCACTCCGCCTCTCACGATCCTACCCACACCTCTCCTCCCTCGTACCTTCACTCTATCCTTTCCCCGTCAACAAACCGGCCTTCTCTTGATTTGAACCCACCCGGTGTTGGGATCCCGTCCATCTTCATCTCCCTCCTTGGCACAGTCATATCTGTCTCTCAACGCCCTATCCGTGCCTCCCTTCCCACTTTGCATCGCCTTTCATTCAATCCAATCACAGTCACCCGCCATGCGGAGTGTAAGGCATCCAGTCCATCTTCATCTCCCCCATGAGCACCATCATCTTCATCGCCCCCTCTCTCCTTCCCGCATCACCTAGCCAACCCCCGCTATAATCACATGCATCCAGTGGTATCGGGAATGTAGGAAATCCAGTCCATCTTCATCTCACATCAAGCCTTGCCACACTTGCCCAACGCCGCCCCCCTCTTTCCCCCCACCCCCCCTCTCTTGCAATCACACGCACCCAGTGGTATCGGGTATATAGGGAATCCAGTCCATCTTCATCTCGCGCATCGGCACGATCATCTCTGTCTCCATCTGCACTGACTTGATCCCCAGCTTGTCTGACGGCGCGAATGGTGATAACACCTGGTGGAGAGCAGTGGGAATCAGTGGAGAGCGGTGAAAAGAGGTGGGATCAGATGCAGTTGATAATCGGTAGGCACGATCATCTCTGTCTTCATCTGCACTGACTTGATGCCCAGCTTGTCCGACAGGGCGAACGGCGATAACACCTGGTGGGGAGCGGTGAAAAGAGGTGAGATGCTGTTGATCAGCACTAGGCACGATCATCACTGTCTTAATCTGCACTGACTTCATGCCCAGCTTGACTGACGGGGCGAATGGCAGCCGCACCTGGTTCGGAGTGATTGGGACAGATGGGAAGCGGTAGAAGGAGGTGGATTGTGATTAATAAGCGGTCGGTGAAAACCCTTTCTCTGTCTTCATTCAAACTGGCTTAAATGCGATGCAACGTAAGAGAGAATGTGAAGGGGTTGGGGAGGTGAGGACGGAACGGAAGAGGGAGAGACATGGTAGCAGGGAGCTTGGGAGGGTTGGGAGCAGGCCGCAGGGGCTTGACCATGCATATACTTCAAATGTCGCGGACAGTAAAATACGCGACCAGAAATCCCAACCCACGACCTCAGAACCAAACCTTCACCTCAGACCAGACCATGTAACAAAGACCGAAAACATGTGGTCTACACAAATCCTGAACCTAAAAACCTAGCCTAATAAAAAACCCGAAACCCTGTACACGTCTCTAGGGCTTGTTTTTAATTCTGACCCTTGGCCTGAAGCCATGCACGTACCGCGACGACTGCTGGCACGTGCACCACCTTGTCCTTGCCCTTCCAGTGCACCAGCTGTGCTGCAATGCGGGACACACAGGGTAGCAGGATGGTGGATGGGATCATGCAGGAGCGGAGGATTTATGCAGAGCTGTGTAGCTCATTGATAAGCCGCGGATAGAGACATGCTTTGTGAAAAAAAAAAGGGAGCACGGAACGAATTGGAGGTGTACTTGGGAGAAAGGGAGATTGAGCATGACGGAGACCAATAATGGTGTTTTATTTTGTACCTTTTGAGCATGACGGAGACCAATAATGGTGTTTTATATTGTGCCTTTTGAGCAATCTTATCTTGAGATGTTACCACGTCCAGGACCAAGTTCAATCATATTGCTACAATCTTTTCAGCTTGCATTGGGCTTTGGGGCGTTTGAACTCACGTTCTGTGCATCCAAAGAGGTAGACCCGCTTGTCGTGCAGCGGGCCGCCCTCATCAAACGCCTCCTGCACACACCCGAGAAGAGTCAGTCACATGGGGAAGGCGGGACACACAGGGAAAGGCGGAAGCAGGAGAGTGCGTGTGTGTGCTCGCTTGTTGAAGCGAACGCCTGGGTTGCGGAGAAGCGTCGTACGGGGAGGGCGGGAGACAAGGGGAGGAAGAGGACGGACGGAGAGAGGGGGGAAACGGGGAGAAGCAAGCATGGCCCTCTTGTTCTCAACTCAAGGTACATGTGGTGTGCATGCGCACCCAAGGGCTCAGCGAGAACTACGCAATAAAGTGACACGAACAGGATACATGCATGGGATGGGACGGCTGATACGAGTGTGATGTGATTGGGAAGGCTCGCTTCTCGAGAATGTGAGCATCGGTCTTCCCACTGAGGATTGTGGCCAGGAATTGGCCACACAGTGAGGCGAGCGAGAGATTGTACTTATATAGAGAAAGGTGATAGAGAGAAAGTGATAGAGAGAAAGTGATAGAGAGAAAGGTGATAGAGAGAAAGGTGATAGAGAGAGGTGCAATGTGGTTACATCGAGGTTTGAGAAGTCCCAGTCAATCTCGTACACTTTGTCGTACTGGTCCCACTGGTAGAGCGAGTGTGGGGAAAAGAGGTGGGCGGGGATAGGGGAGGCATGGGGGACAGCAAGAGGAGAAGGGGGACAAAATGTGTTGGAATACGGCGGTTGGTCGGAGCGTATATGCTTCCCATTGCAACATGCGTGTGTACTTTCGTGAGGAAGAATTGCAGGATAATCACTGGTTAAGGTAAGACGAGGAGAGAGAGTAGGTAGCCCTATTAATGGGAGTTCTATCAGGGTCCATAGCCTAGAAAACCCATTTCCGCATACTACATGGTTAAAGAAGTCCGAGATAAGTTTTTGAGCTTCTGAGCTGGTGAAAAGGGGATGAAGGAATCATTGTGCTATGAGGAGGGAAATGGTCCACCATGAACGCAAGGCAAATCACAGAAAGGGATGGGAAAGTGAGTGTTGGTTTCCAAGCTTCAAAAGGCAGTGGATAAGGTGTAATGAAAAAGAAGGATGAGAAGCAAGTAAAGGAAGGTGAGGTGAAGCAGGAAACGGATGGCATAGGTACCTACCTCCGTGCCGACCGGAAATGCTTCCTTCCAAATGTCCTCCTGAAACACGGCATGATGACGAGATTTGAGTCTAAGACTGTCAAAAGCGCGTGGATCGGCTCAGCTGACATGAGCAAGAAAGCGAGAGCGATATTGAGCGAGACAACAAATGACCAGCGACGAACGGCCGGGAACGAACGACCGTCAATGAACTGACCGGCATTGAACAACCGAAAATAGAACGAGAGAGAAGAAGCAATGACAGAAACAACCGGGACGGACCATTGCACATTTGCGGTACTAGAGGGTGGGCGAACGAAGGGGGAGCTCACCATGTCTGCCATTGATGCCCAACAGACCCACAACAACGAGCGCAAGCTGCACAACACGAACGCGGATGGGGTGGCAGTGTGGGACAAGGTGGCAGTGCGGGACAAGGTGGCAGTGCGGGACAAGGTGGCAGTGCGGGACAAGGTGGCAGTGCGGGACAAGGTGGCAGTGCGGGACAAGGTGGCAGTGCGGGACAAGGTGGCAGTGCGGGACAAGGTGGCAGTGCGGGACAAGGTGGCAGTGCGGGACAAGGTGGCAGTGCGGGACAAGGTGGCAGTGCGGGACAAGGTGGCAGTGCGGGACAAGGTGGCAGTGCGGGACAAGGTGGCAGTGCGGGACAAGGTGGCAGTGCGGGACAAGGTGGCAGTGCGGGACAAGGTGGCAGTGCGGGACAAGGTGGCAGTGCGGGACAAGGTGGCAGTGCGGGACAAGGTGGCAGTGCGGGACAAGGTGGCAGTGCGGGACAAGGTGGCAGTGCGGGACAAGGTGGCAGTGCGGGACAAGGTGGCAGTGCGGGACAAGGTGGCAGTGCGGGACAAGGTGGCAGTGCGGGACAAGGTGGCAGTGCGGGACAAGGTGGCAGTGCGGGACAAGGTGGCAGTGCGGGACAAGGTGGCAGTGCGGGACAAGGTGGCAGTGCGGGACAAGGTGGCAGTGCGGGACAAGGTGGCAGTGCGGGACAAGGTGGCAGTGCGGGACAAGGTGGCAGTGCGGGACAAGGTGGCAGTGCGGGACAAGGTGGCAGTGCGGGACAAGGTGGCAGTGCGGGACAAGGTGGCAGTGCGGGACAAGGTGGCAGTGCGGGACAAGGTGGCAGTGCGGGACAAGGTGGCAGTGCGGGACAAGGTGGCAGTGCGGGACAAGGTGGCAGTGCGGGACAAGGTGGCAGTGCGGGACAAGGTGGCAGTGCGGGACAAGGTGGCAGTGCGGGACAAGGTGGCAGTGCGGGACAAGGTGGCAGTGCGGGACAAGGTGGCAGTGCGGGACAAGGTGGCAGTGCGGGACAAGGTGGCAGTGCGGGACAAGGTGGCAGTGCGGGACAAGGTGGCAGTGCGGGACAAGGTGGCAGTGCGGGACAAGGTGGCAGTGCGGGACAAGGTGGCAGTGCGGGACAAGGTGGCAGTGCGGGACAAGGTGGCAGTGCGGGACAAGGTGGCAGTGCGGGACAAGGTGGCAGTGCGGGACAAGGTGGCAGTGCGGGACAAGGTGGCAGTGCGGGACAAGGTGGCAGTGCGGGACAAGGTGGCAGTGCGGGACAAGGTGGCAGTGCGGGACAAGGTGGCAGTGCGGGACAAGGTGGCAGTGCGGGACAAGGTGGCAGTGCGGGACAAGGTGGCAGTGCGGGACAAGGTGGCAGTGCGGGACAAGGTGGCAGTGCGGGACAAGGTGGCAGTGCGGGACAAGGTGGCAGTGCGGGACAAGGTGGCAGTGCGGGACAAGGTGGCAGTGCGGGACAAGGTGGCAGTGCGGGACAAGGTGGCAGTGCGGGACAAGGTGGCAGTGCGGGACAAGGTGGCAGTGCGGGACAAGGTGGCAGTGCGGGACAAGGTGGCAGTGCGGGACAAGGTGGCAGTGCGGGACAAGGTGGCAGTGCGGGACAAGGTGGCAGTGCGGGACAAGGTGGCAGTGCGGGACAAGGTGGCAGTGCGGGACAAGGTGGCAGTGCGGGACAAGGTGGCAGTGCGGGACAAGGTGGCAGTGCGGGACAAGGTGGCAGTGCGGGACAAGGTGGCAGTGCGGGACAAGGTGGCAGTGCGGGACAAGGTGGCAGTGCGGGACAAGGTGGCAGTGCGGGACAAGGTGGCAGTGCGGGACAAGGTGGCAGTGCGGGACAAGGTGGCAGTGCGGGACAAGGTGGCAGTGCGGGACAAGGTGGCAGTGCGGGACAAGGTGGCAGTGCGGGACAAGGTGGCAGTGCGGGACAAGGTGGCAGTGCGGGACAAGGTGGCAGTGCGGGACAAGGTGGCAGTGCGGGACAAGGTGGCAGTGCGGGACAAGGTGGCAGTGCGGGACAAGGTGGCAGTGCGGGACAAGGTGGCAGTGCGGGACAAGGTGGCAGTGCGGGACAAGGTGGCAGTGCGGGACAAGGTGGCAGTGCGGGACAAGGTGGCAGTGCGGGACAAGGTGGCAGTGCGGGACAAGGTGGCAGTGCGGGACAAGGTGGCAGTGCGGGACAAGGTGGCAGTGCGGGACAAGGTGGCAGTGCGGGACAAGGTGGCAGTGCGGGACAAGGTGGCAGTGCGGGACAAGGTGGCAGTGCGGGACAAGGTGGCAGTGCGGGACAAGGTGGCAGTGCGGGACAAGGTGGCAGTGCGGGACAAGGTGGCAGTGCGGGACAAGGTGGCAGTGCGGGACAAGGTGGCAGTGCGGGACAAGGTGGCAGTGCGGGACAAGGTGGCAGTGCGGGACAAGGTGGCAGTGCGGGACAAGGTGGCAGTGCGGGACAAGGTGGCAGTGCGGGACAAGGTGGCAGTGCGGGACAAGGTGGCAGTGCGGGACAAGGTGGCAGTGCGGGACAAGGTGGCAGTGCGGGACAAGGTGGCAGTGCGGGACAAGGTGGCAGTGCGGGACAAGGTGGCAGTGCGGGACAAGGTGGCAGTGCGGGACAAGGTGGCAGTGCGGGACAAGGTGGCAGTGCGGGACAAGGTGGCAGTGCGGGACAAGGTGGCAGTGCGGGACAAGGTGGCAGTGCGGGACAAGGTGGCAGTGCGGGACAAGGTGGCAGTGCGGGACAAGGTGGCAGTGCGGGACAAGGTGGCAGTGCGGGACAAGGTGGCAGTGCGGGACAAGGTGGCAGTGCGGGACAAGGTGGCAGTGCGGGACAAGGTGGCAGTGCGGGACAAGGTGGCAGTGCGGGACAAGGTGGCAGTGCGGGACAAGGTGGCAGTGCGGGACAAGGTGGCAGTGCGGGACAAGGTGGCAGTGCGGGACAAGGTGGCAGTGCGGGACAAGGTGGCAGTGCGGGACAAGGTGGCAGTGCGGGACAAGGTGGCAGTGCGGGACAAGGTGGCAGTGCGGGACAAGGTGGCAGTGCGGGACAAGGTGGCAGTGCGGGACAAGGTGGCAGTGCGGGACAAGGTGGCAGTGCGGGACAAGGTGGCAGTGCGGGACAAGGTGGCAGTGCGGGACAAGGTGGCAGTGCGGGACAAGGTGGCAGTGCGGGACAAGGTGGCAGTGCGGGACAAGGTGGCAGTGCGGGACAAGGTGGCAGTGCGGGACAAGGTGGCAGTGCGGGACAAGGTGGCAGTGCGGGACAAGGTGGCAGTGCGGGACAAGGTGGCAGTGCGGGACAAGGTGGCAGTGCGGGACAAGGTGGCAGTGCGGGACAAGGTGGCAGTGCGGGACAAGGTGGCAGTGCGGGACAAGGTGGCAGTGCGGGACAAGGTGGCAGTGCGGGACAAGGTGGCAGTGCGGGACAAGGTGGCAGTGCGGGACAAGGTGGCAGTGCGGGACAAGGTGGCAGTGCGGGACAAGGTGGCAGTGCGGGACAAGGTGGCAGTGCGGGACAAGGTGGCAGTGCGGGACAAGGTGGCAGTGCGGGACAAGGTGGCAGTGCGGGACAAGGTGGCAGTGCGGGACAAGGTGGCAGTGCGGGACAAGGTGGCAGTGCGGGACAAGGTGGCAGTGCGGGACAAGGTGGCAGTGCGGGACAAGGTGGCAGTGCGGGACAAGGTGGCAGTGCGGGACAAGGTGGCAGTGCGGGACAAGGTGGCAGTGCGGGACAAGGTGGCAGTGCGGGACAAGGTGGCAGTGCGGGACAAGGTGGCAGTGCGGGACAAGGTGGCAGTGCGGGACAAGGTGGCAGTGCGGGACAAGGTGGCAGTGCGGGACAAGGTGGCAGTGCGGGACAAGGTGGCAGTGCGGGACAAGGTGGCAGTGCGGGACAAGGTGGCAGTGCGGGACAAGGTGGCAGTGCGGGACAAGGTGGCAGTGCGGGACAAGGTGGCAGTGCGGGACAAGGTGGCAGTGCGGGACAAGGTGGCAGTGCGGGACAAGGTGGCAGTGCGGGACAAGGTGGCAGTGCGGGACAAGGTGGCAGTGCGGGACAAGGTGGCAGTGCGGGACAAGGTGGCAGTGCGGGACAAGGTGGCAGTGCGGGACAAGGTGGCAGTGCGGGACAAGGTGGCAGTGCGGGACAAGGTGGCAGTGCGGGACAAGGTGGCAGTGCGGGACAAGGTGGCAGTGCGGGACAAGGTGGCAGTGCGGGACAAGGTGGCAGTGCGGGACAAGGTGGCAGTGCGGGACAAGGTGGCAGTGCGGGACAAGGTGGCAGTGCGGGACAAGGTGGCAGTGCGGGACAAGGTGGCAGTGCGGGACAAGGTGGCAGTGCGGGACAAGGTGGCAGTGCGGGACAAGGTGGCAGTGCGGGACAAGGTGGCAGTGCGGGACAAGGTGGCAGTGCGGGACAAGGTGGCAGTGCGGGACAAGGTGGCAGTGCGGGACAAGGTGGCAGTGCGGGACAAGGTGGCAGTGCGGGACAAGGTGGCAGTGCGGGACAAGGTGGCAGTGCGGGACAAGGTGGCAGTGCGGGACAAGGTGGCAGTGCGGGACAAGGTGGCAGTGCGGGACAAGGTGGCAGTGCGGGACAAGGTGGCAGTGCGGGACAAGGTGGCAGTGCGGGACAAGGTGGCAGTGCGGGACAAGGTGGCAGTGCGGGACAAGGTGGCAGTGCGGGACAAGGTGGCAGTGCGGGACAAGGTGGCAGTGCGGGACAAGGTGGCAGTGCGGGACAAGGTGGCAGTGCGGGACAAGGTGGCAGTGCGGGACAAGGTGGCAGTGCGGGACAAGGTGGCAGTGCGGGACAAGGTGGCAGTGCGGGACAAGGTGGCAGTGCGGGACAAGGTGGCAGTGCGGGACAAGGTGGCAGTGCGGGACAAGGTGGCAGTGCGGGACAAGGTGGCAGTGCGGGACAAGGTGGCAGTGCGGGACAAGGTGGCAGTGCGGGACAAGGTGGCAGTGCGGGACAAGGTGGCAGTGCGGGACAAGGTGGCAGTGCGGGACAAGGTGGCAGTGCGGGACAAGGTGGCAGTGCGGGACAAGGTGGCAGTGCGGGACAAGGTGGCAGTGCGGGACAAGGTGGCAGTGCGGGACAAGGTGGCAGTGCGGGACAAGGTGGCAGTGCGGGACAAGGTGGCAGTGCGGGACAAGGTGGCAGTGCGGGACAAGGTGGCAGTGCGGGACAAGGTGGCAGTGCGGGACAAGGTGGCAGTGCGGGACAAGGTGGCAGTGCGGGACAAGGTGGCAGTGCGGGACAAGGTGGCAGTGCGGGACAAGGTGGCAGTGCGGGACAAGGTGGCAGTGCGGGACAAGGTGGCAGTGCGGGACAAGGTGGCAGTGCGGGACAAGGTGGCAGTGCGGGACAAGGTGGCAGTGCGGGACAAGGTGGCAGTGCGGGACAAGGTGGCAGTGCGGGACAAGGTGGCAGTGCGGGACAAGGTGGCAGTGCGGGACAAGGTGGCAGTGCGGGACAAGGTGGCAGTGCGGGACAAGGTGGCAGTGCGGGACAAGGTGGCAGTGCGGGACAAGGTGGCAGTGCGGGACAAGGTGGCAGTGCGGGACAAGGTGGCAGTGCGGGACAAGGTGGCAGTGCGGGACAAGGTGGCAGTGCGGGACAAGGTGGCAGTGCGGGACAAGGTGGCAGTGCGGGACAAGGTGGCAGTGCGGGACAAGGTGGCAGTGCGGGACAAGGTGGCAGTGCGGGACAAGGTGGCAGTGCGGGACAAGGTGGCAGTGCGGGACAAGGTGGCAGTGCGGGACAAGGTGGCAGTGCGGGACAAGGTGGCAGTGCGGGACAAGGTGGCAGTGCGGGACAAGGTGGCAGTGCGGGACAAGGTGGCAGTGCGGGACAAGGTGGCAGTGCGGGACAAGGTGGCAGTGCGGGACAAGGTGGCAGTGCGGGACAAGGTGGCAGTGCGGGACAAGGTGGCAGTGCGGGACAAGGTGGCAGTGCGGGACAAGGTGGCAGTGCGGGACAAGGTGGCAGTGCGGGACAAGGTGGCAGTGCGGGACAAGGTGGCAGTGCGGGACAAGGTGGCAGTGCGGGACAAGGTGGCAGTGCGGGACAAGGTGGCAGTGCGGGACAAGGTGGCAGTGCGGGACAAGGTGGCAGTGCGGGACAAGGTGGCAGTGCGGGACAAGGTGGCAGTGCGGGACAAGGTGGCAGTGCGGGACAAGGTGGCAGTGCGGGACAAGGTGGCAGTGCGGGACAAGGTGGCAGTGCGGGACAAGGTGGCAGTGCGGGACAAGGTGGCAGTGCGGGACAAGGTGGCAGTGCGGGACAAGGTGGCAGTGCGGGACAAGGTGGCAGTGCGGGACAAGGTGGCAGTGCGGGACAAGGTGGCAGTGCGGGACAAGGTGGCAGTGCGGGACAAGGTGGCAGTGCGGGACAAGGTGGCAGTGCGGGACAAGGTGGCAGTGCGGGACAAGGTGGCAGTGCGGGACAAGGTGGCAGTGCGGGACAAGGTGGCAGTGCGGGACAAGGTGGCAGTGCGGGACAAGGTGGCAGTGCGGGACAAGGTGGCAGTGCGGGACAAGGTGGCAGTGCGGGACAAGGTGGCAGTGCGGGACAAGGTGGCAGTGCGGGACAAGGTGGCAGTGCGGGACAAGGTGGCAGTGCGGGACAAGGTGGCAGTGCGGGACAAGGTGGCAGTGCGGGACAAGGTGGCAGTGCGGGACAAGGTGGCAGTGCGGGACAAGGTGGCAGTGCGGGACAAGGTGGCAGTGCGGGACAAGGTGGCAGTGCGGGACAAGGTGGCAGTGCGGGACAAGGTGGCAGTGCGGGACAAGGTGGCAGTGCGGGACAAGGTGGCAGTGCGGGACAAGGTGGCAGTGCGGGACAAGGTGGCAGTGCGGGACAAGGTGGCAGTGCGGGACAAGGTGGCAGTGCGGGACAAGGTGGCAGTGCGGGACAAGGTGGCAGTGCGGGACAAGGTGGCAGTGCGGGACAAGGTGGCAGTGCGGGACAAGGTGGCAGTGCGGGACAAGGTGGCAGTGCGGGACAAGGTGGCAGTGCGGGACAAGGTGGCAGTGCGGGACAAGGTGGCAGTGCGGGACAAGGTGGCAGTGCGGGACAAGGTGGCAGTGCGGGACAAGGTGGCAGTGCGGGACAAGGTGGCAGTGCGGGACAAGGTGGCAGTGCGGGACAAGGTGGCAGTGCGGGACAAGGTGGCAGTGCGGGACAAGGTGGCAGTGCGGGACAAGGTGGCAGTGCGGGACAAGGTGGCAGTGCGGGACAAGGTGGCAGTGCGGGACAAGGTGGCAGTGCGGGACAAGGTGGCAGTGCGGGACAAGGTGGCAGTGCGGGACAAGGTGGCAGTGCGGGACAAGGTGGCAGTGCGGGACAAGGTGGCAGTGCGGGACAAGGTGGCAGTGCGGGACAAGGTGGCAGTGCGGGACAAGGTGGCAGTGCGGGACAAGGTGGCAGTGCGGGACAAGGTGGCAGTGCGGGACAAGGTGGCAGTGCGGGACAAGGTGGCAGTGCGGGACAAGGTGGCAGTGCGGGACAAGGTGGCAGTGCGGGACAAGGTGGCAGTGCGGGACAAGGTGGCAGTGCGGGACAAGGTGGCAGTGCGGGACAAGGTGGCAGTGCGGGACAAGGTGGCAGTGCGGGACAAGGTGGCAGTGCGGGACAAGGTGGCAGTGCGGGACAAGGTGGCAGTGCGGGACAAGGTGGCAGTGCGGGACAAGGTGGCAGTGCGGGACAAGGTGGCAGTGCGGGACAAGGTGGCAGTGCGGGACAAGGTGGCAGTGCGGGACAAGGTGGCAGTGCGGGACAAGGTGGCAGTGCGGGACAAGGTGGCAGTGCGGGACAAGGTGGCAGTGCGGGACAAGGTGGCAGTGCGGGACAAGGTGGCAGTGCGGGACAAGGTGGCAGTGCGGGACAAGGTGGCAGTGCGGGACAAGGTGGCAGTGCGGGACAAGGTGGCAGTGCGGGACAAGGTGGCAGTGCGGGACAAGGTGGCAGTGCGGGACAAGGTGGCAGTGCGGGACAAGGTGGCAGTGCGGGACAAGGTGGCAGTGCGGGACAAGGTGGCAGTGCGGGACAAGGTGGCAGTGCGGGACAAGGTGGCAGTGCGGGACAAGGTGGCAGTGCGGGACAAGGTGGCAGTGCGGGACAAGGTGGCAGTGCGGGACAAGGTGGCAGTGCGGGACAAGGTGGCAGTGCGGGACAAGGTGGCAGTGCGGGACAAGGTGGCAGTGCGGGACAAGGTGGCAGTGCGGGACAAGGTGGCAGTGCGGGACAAGGTGGCAGTGCGGGACAAGGTGGCAGTGCGGGACAAGGTGGCAGTGCGGGACAAGGTGGCAGTGCGGGACAAGGTGGCAGTGCGGGACAAGGTGGCAGTGCGGGACAAGGTGGCAGTGCGGGACAAGGTGGCAGTGCGGGACAAGGTGGCAGTGCGGGACAAGGTGGCAGTGCGGGACAAGGTGGCAGTGCGGGACAAGGTGGCAGTGCGGGACAAGGTGGCAGTGCGGGACAAGGTGGCAGTGCGGGACAAGGTGGCAGTGCGGGACAAGGTGGCAGTGCGGGACAAGGTGGCAGTGCGGGACAAGGTGGCAGTGCGGGACAAGGTGGCAGTGCGGGACAAGGTGGCAGTGCGGGACAAGGTGGCAGTGCGGGACAAGGTGGCAGTGCGGGACAAGGTGGCAGTGCGGGACAAGGTGGCAGTGCGGGACAAGGTGGCAGTGCGGGACAAGGTGGCAGTGCGGGACAAGGTGGCAGTGCGGGACAAGGTGGCAGTGCGGGACAAGGTGGCAGTGCGGGACAAGGTGGCAGTGCGGGACAAGGTGGCAGTGCGGGACAAGGTGGCAGTGCGGGACAAGGTGGCAGTGCGGGACAAGGTGGCAGTGCGGGACAAGGTGGCAGTGCGGGACAAGGTGGCAGTGCGGGACAAGGTGGCAGTGCGGGACAAGGTGGCAGTGCGGGACAAGGTGGCAGTGCGGGACAAGGTGGCAGTGCGGGACAAGGTGGCAGTGCGGGACAAGGTGGCAGTGCGGGACAAGGTGGCAGTGCGGGACAAGGTGGCAGTGCGGGACAAGGTGGCAGTGCGGGACAAGGTGGCAGTGCGGGACAAGGTGGCAGTGCGGGACAAGGTGGCAGTGCGGGACAAGGTGGCAGTGCGGGACAAGGTGGCAGTGCGGGACAAGGTGGCAGTGCGGGACAAGGTGGCAGTGCGGGACAAGGTGGCAGTGCGGGACAAGGTGGCAGTGCGGGACAAGGTGGCAGTGCGGGACAAGGTGGCAGTGCGGGACAAGGTGGCAGTGCGGGACAAGGTGGCAGTGCGGGACAAGGTGGCAGTGCGGGACAAGGTGGCAGTGCGGGACAAGGTGGCAGTGCGGGACAAGGTGGCAGTGCGGGACAAGGTGGCAGTGCGGGACAAGGTGGCAGTGCGGGACAAGGTGGCAGTGCGGGACAAGGTGGCAGTGCGGGACAAGGTGGCAGTGCGGGACAAGGTGGCAGTGCGGGACAAGGTGGCAGTGCGGGACAAGGTGGCAGTGCGGGACAAGGTGGCAGTGCGGGACAAGGTGGCAGTGCGGGACAAGGTGGCAGTGCGGGACAAGGTGGCAGTGCGGGACAAGGTGGCAGTGCGGGACAAGGTGGCAGTGCGGGACAAGGTGGCAGTGCGGGACAAGGTGGCAGTGCGGGACAAGGTGGCAGTGCGGGACAAGGTGGCAGTGCGGGACAAGGTGGCAGTGCGGGACAAGGTGGCAGTGCGGGACAAGGTGGCAGTGCGGGACAAGGTGGCAGTGCGGGACAAGGTGGCAGTGCGGGACAAGGTGGCAGTGCGGGACAAGGTGGCAGTGCGGGACAAGGTGGCAGTGCGGGACAAGGTGGCAGTGCGGGACAAGGTGGCAGTGCGGGACAAGGTGGCAGTGCGGGACAAGGTGGCAGTGCGGGACAAGGTGGCAGTGCGGGACAAGGTGGCAGTGCGGGACAAGGTGGCAGTGCGGGACAAGGTGGCAGTGCGGGACAAGGTGGCAGTGCGGGACAAGGTGGCAGTGCGGGACAAGGTGGCAGTGCGGGACAAGGTGGCAGTGCGGGACAAGGTGGCAGTGCGGGACAAGGTGGCAGTGCGGGACAAGGTGGCAGTGCGGGACAAGGTGGCAGTGCGGGACAAGGTGGCAGTGCGGGACAAGGTGGCAGTGCGGGACAAGGTGGCAGTGCGGGACAAGGTGGCAGTGCGGGACAAGGTGGCAGTGCGGGACAAGGTGGCAGTGCGGGACAAGGTGGCAGTGCGGGACAAGGTGGCAGTGCGGGACAAGGTGGCAGTGCGGGACAAGGTGGCAGTGCGGGACAAGGTGGCAGTGCGGGACAAGGTGGCAGTGCGGGACAAGGTGGCAGTGCGGGACAAGGTGGCAGTGCGGGACAAGGTGGCAGTGCGGGACAAGGTGGCAGTGCGGGACAAGGTGGCAGTGCGGGACAAGGTGGCAGTGCGGGACAAGGTGGCAGTGCGGGACAAGGTGGCAGTGCGGGACAAGGTGGCAGTGCGGGACAAGGTGGCAGTGCGGGACAAGGTGGCAGTGCGGGACAAGGTGGCAGTGCGGGACAAGGTGGCAGTGCGGGACAAGGTGGCAGTGCGGGACAAGGTGGCAGTGCGGGACAAGGTGGCAGTGCGGGACAAGGTGGCAGTGCGGGACAAGGTGGCAGTGCGGGACAAGGTGGCAGTGCGGGACAAGGTGGCAGTGCGGGACAAGGTGGCAGTGCGGGACAAGGTGGCAGTGCGGGACAAGGTGGCAGTGCGGGACAAGGTGGCAGTGCGGGACAAGGTGGCAGTGCGGGACAAGGTGGCAGTGCGGGACAAGGTGGCAGTGCGGGACAAGGTGGCAGTGCGGGACAAGGTGGCAGTGCGGGACAAGGTGGCAGTGCGGGACAAGGTGGCAGTGCGGGACAAGGTGGCAGTGCGGGACAAGGTGGCAGTGCGGGACAAGGTGGCAGTGCGGGACAAGGTGGCAGTGCGGGACAAGGTGGCAGTGCGGGACAAGGTGGCAGTGCGGGACAAGGTGGCAGTGCGGGACAAGGTGGCAGTGCGGGACAAGGTGGCAGTGCGGGACAAGGTGGCAGTGCGGGACAAGGTGGCAGTGCGGGACAAGGTGGCAGTGCGGGACAAGGTGGCAGTGCGGGACAAGGTGGCAGTGCGGGACAAGGTGGCAGTGCGGGACAAGGTGGCAGTGCGGGACAAGGTGGCAGTGCGGGACAAGGTGGCAGTGCGGGACAAGGTGGCAGTGCGGGACAAGGTGGCAGTGCGGGACAAGGTGGCAGTGCGGGACAAGGTGGCAGTGCGGGACAAGGTGGCAGTGCGGGACAAGGTGGCAGTGCGGGACAAGGTGGCAGTGCGGGACAAGGTGGCAGTGCGGGACAAGGTGGCAGTGCGGGACAAGGTGGCAGTGCGGGACAAGGTGGCAGTGCGGGACAAGGTGGCAGTGCGGGACAAGGTGGCAGTGCGGGACAAGGTGGCAGTGCGGGACAAGGTGGCAGTGCGGGACAAGGTGGCAGTGCGGGACAAGGTGGCAGTGCGGGACAAGGTGGCAGTGCGGGACAAGGTGGCAGTGCGGGACAAGGTGGCAGTGCGGGACAAGGTGGCAGTGCGGGACAAGGTGGCAGTGCGGGACAAGGTGGCAGTGCGGGACAAGGTGGCAGTGCGGGACAAGGTGGCAGTGCGGGACAAGGTGGCAGTGCGGGACAAGGTGGCAGTGCGGGACAAGGTGGCAGTGCGGGACAAGGTGGCAGTGCGGGACAAGGTGGCAGTGCGGGACAAGGTGGCAGTGCGGGACAAGGTGGCAGTGCGGGACAAGGTGGCAGTGCGGGACAAGGTGGCAGTGCGGGACAAGGTGGCAGTGCGGGACAAGGTGGCAGTGCGGGACAAGGTGGCAGTGCGGGACAAGGTGGCAGTGCGGGACAAGGTGGCAGTGCGGGACAAGGTGGCAGTGCGGGACAAGGTGGCAGTGCGGGACAAGGTGGCAGTGCGGGACAAGGTGGCAGTGCGGGACAAGGTGGCAGTGCGGGACAAGGTGGCAGTGCGGGACAAGGTGGCAGTGCGGGACAAGGTGGCAGGGAAACGGGAGGTTTGGGGTTGGGTAGGAGGGCCGGGAGGGTGGTGAGGAATAAAAGTGGGAAAGGAAAGCAGGGGGCGCGACGAGATTGAGAGGTAGCGTGCGGGCGAGGGAGGGGATACCTCTCAATCAGGGGGGGAATGAGGGCAAGCAGGGGGGCAAATGAGGGCAAGCAGGGGGGCAAATGAGGGCAAGCAGGGGGGCAAATGAGGGCAAGCAGGGGGGCAAATGAGGGCAAGCAGGGGGGCAAATCAGGGCAAGCAGGGGGGGATATGAGGGCGTGCAAGGGGGCGGGATGAGGGCGGCTCGCGAACGTGGGGAAAGAGGGAAGGGGAAACGGGAAGGCGGGAAGGGGAAACGGGGAAGGCGGAAAGGGGAAACGGGGAAGGCGGGAAGGGGAAATGGGGAGGCGAAAAGGGAAGAGGGGGAGGCGAAAAGGGGACAGGGGGAGGCGAAAAGGGGAGAGGGGGAGGCGAAAAGGGGAGACGTGGAGGCGAGAAGGGGAGTCGGGGCGGCGGGAAGGGGAGTCGGGGCGGCAGGGGAGTCGGGGCGGCAGGGTAGTCGGGGCGGCGGGAAGGGGAGTCGGGGCGGCGGGAAGGGGAGTCGAGGCGGCGGGAAGGGGAGGCATTGGCAGTCCGTCGCGATCTCACCTGCGGCTGCGGCGGCTAGTGCGGAAGCGGGGTAAAGAGGCTGTGCGAGGCTGTGCGAGGCTGTGCGAGCGGGCGGCGAGTGCGATCGTGCGAAAGCACGCTGTTCGGCAGTTTGAGGCGCGGCGAGCGTTGTAATGTGGCGTGAGGAGGCAGCGTGGTGAGGAGACGAGAGGCCGCGACGGGAAGGGGACGTGTCTCCCCTCATTCTGTCGCGATCATTCTGTCGCGAAACGACGCCGAGAGTGGAGGGGGTTCGCGGTTCCGATTCGCGGCGAAATGAGGCCGCGAGGGAGGCTTATTTGCACCTAGTATCGAGGGAGGCTTATTTGCACCTAGTATCGAGGGAGGCTTATTTGCACCTAGTATCGAGGGAGGCTTATTTGCACCTAGTATCGAGGGAGGCTTATTTGCACCTAGTATCGAGGGGAAATAATGCCGCGAACAGTGGCGTGTCAAGGCCTAGTTAGGATGAAACAAAATGTGTGGTGCTTACCTAGGCGGGTGGCGTATCCTCCCAGATCACAATGAGTGCCCTTTCGCAGATCCTTAGGACTTGAAAGTGAGAGTGGACTGGTGGTGAGGGGTCGTCGTCGTAGGTGAGGCTAGGAGTCGAGCGAAGATTACTGGCTGCACGCCACGGCACTAGTCCTGGAGTTCTCAAGGATGAGTTAGGCTGAACCTCAAGGGGTACAGGACGCGACCACCAGAGCGGGATCTGCAGATCATGCTGAATGAAACCCATGAGAACCGCAAGATTTCACTGACAACAGATATCGCCCTACACCCGATACTGAAACCACCAATTCCTAGATATAAGCAATATGCGACAATTTAAGATTATTTTGCAACCCATATCCCCAAGACCTTCACATCAACACTTCTGAAATAATGAAAACAGGAATCTTAACTTACCGCTCTATGGCCAACCGCCTACAGGTGGGCACGACTTGAGAGCAACTTCTTCGCAGAGAGTGGCGAAGAACTAGAGCTGGTCGTGTCAGTCGTGTGCTTAGTAGTTCCGCTTGTACAACGTATCCATAATAAACGAAGCACATTATCCTGCGTGACAATCAGTGACATAAAATAACATCGAGAACAGAGAACATCGTCTCCAATTTTTATATGCTCTATGAGCCTCTTTCTCAATGGATCCGTAGCCCTTGCTCCTGCAACTTCCTACCGGAACCGCGCTCTTTCATCCTTGCTAATACCGCGTCCCTCTCCTGCTGCAACCTCACTTGCTGCCGTTGCAGCTCAGCAGCTCTCTCACTCGCTTCCGCCTCCCTCCGACACAGCGCACTGTGTTCTACCCTCAGCTTTGCAGCCTGTGTCACGGCAAGGGGGGGGGGGTGGGGGTTTGGGGGGAGGGTTTCGACATGAACAAAAATGGTGGTTCAATGCGCTGACACCATGCCTCGTGCCAGTGTCCTGCTCCGTCCGTCCCATCCCGTGCCATGCAGACAAATGCATGTGCCTTTCAGGATATCATCCTGATATGGCGCATGGCTCGCATACATGTTACAAAGCACAAGCCTTCCATTAGCAAATAATTCATCAATTCCCGTTCCCAGACCCCACTCAGCTCCCATCCCATCCCATCCCCTCCATTCCCATACCATCTCATCAAATCCTATCCCACCACACCCCACCCCACCGCACCCCACCCATCCGCTCACATCCATCTCCAGCTTCTCCAGCAGCTGCTGTCTGCGAAGGCGGCTGCGCTTGGCTGACTGCCGGTTGGACTGCATCCTGCTCAGGCGAGTGGGAAGGCAAGGAGTGAGAAGGCAAGGAGTGAGAAGGCAAGGAGTGAGAAGGCAGGGAGTGAGAAGGCAAGGAGTGAGAAGGCAGGGAGTGAGAAGGCAAGGAGTGAGAAGGCAGGGAGTGAGAAGGCAAGGGCAGGAAAGAAGGGGTTCCAAGACACAAAGGCTTATGGAGACCCAGATTCACTCCACCATGCACTCCCCTCCCCACTCACCTCCTCTGCTTGCGCTGAGTGGTTGCATCATCATCACAGCCATCACTACCCACTGCGCCATTGCCTCCCACTGCCACACAAGGAACGCCAGACGCTGCATGTGCACCATAATGGGCAACACTACCAGCAGTGCTGCCGCCCACTCTCCCCGTCTGCCCCCCAGCGCCACATGCCCCTTCGCCTGCACTCCCACCACGACTGGCAGCTCCGCCAGTAGAAACAGCAGCAGCAGGAGTAGCAGTGGGAGACGCAGCAGCGGCAGCAGAAAGTGCAGCAGAGTTGGGAGGCAGCGCGTGGGGGGCAATGGTGGAGAAACTGAGACCGTGTGTTGGTGGGGGTGCAAAGACGGGCCATGGTAAGTGGATGAGGGGAGATGCGTGTCTGGACAGAGGAGACTGGGCTGGGGGCTGTGGTGGTAGCTGGGGCTGCTGTGATGGTAGCTGGTTCTGCGAGATAAGCAGCTGAGACTGTGACAATAGTTGGGACTGTGACAGTAGCGAGGGCTGTGATATTAGCTGGGGCTGTGATGGTAGCAGGGTCTGCGAGATAAGCAGCTGGGGCAAGGGCTGGGGCAGAGTGGGGAGCGGGGGAGTAGAGGAGAGCGGTAGCAGGACTTGGGTGGAGACGCGGTGGGGCAGCAGGTGCTGCCAGGGCAGTGGCAGGAGGGCAGCAGCAGGGAGGGCCACTATGGAAGGCGCATGGATGGAGGGCGAACCCAAGGAGCCACCCGCACCTGCCACCGGTGCTGCCTCTGCTGCTGATGCTGCGCCTGCTGCCACCGTTGCTGCCGGTGCTGTCGCTGCTGCCAACTCTGCACCTACCATGCCTGCTGTATCTGCTGCTGTGCAATGCGCGCCCGCCAGTTCGACTGCCAATGGACTCTGCAACTGTTCCGACGTTCGCTCCTGCTCCGGCGGTGTGTGACGCGTATCAGCAGCAGCGCGCGCCTGCGCCTGTGCGTGGGCAGCTTCAAGGCCCGGCGCTGTCACTCCGCTGAGCATCGCTCCGCCCAGGCGGTCTCCGCCAGTCAGTGCAGCTGCGATAAGGTTCCCCTCTGCGCTGCTGGCCCCCCATCCGCCCGTTCCGCCGGTATCGCCTGCGGCGGTGGGTTCTCTTGCCGTCCCGCTGGCGCTTGCGCATTCAGCTGCGCCGCGCGCAGTCGCGCGTGCCCCCTCTGCCGCCAGATGTGCGCGCGGATGCGCGGACAGGCTAGCGATGGGGGATTGCTGAGGACGGCTTTGCGGATAAAGCTGCTCTTGCGGATAATACCGGTTCTGCGGATCACCGAAAGGCTGACGGTCCTGCCGGCCGCCACCTTGTTCTGCCGCCGTGGCATTGCCGGAGTCCGTCAAGTCCACCGGCGGCCGTCCGCTCGTCGACCAATCGCCGGCGAGGCCCGTCGCGCGATGATCGACGCAGCTTGGGTCTGACAGCCCCGCCAACGACTCATAGTAGAACAAAGTTTGAGGCGTACAAGTGAGGTGGCTCGTCGACTCAGAAGTCCTTCCGTCGGGCGAGTCGCCATCGCCGTCGTCGTCGTCGCAGAATGGCCGCTTTCGCTTCGCGGATACGGACGGCTGCCAGAAGCCGTTCTGCTCGTGGTAGCGGCGCTCGTCGCAGTCAGCGCGACGGCGGCCGGCGACTTCCCCGCCGCACGTCGCGGCGATGCTCTCTTCAAAGGCGCGCAGCTGAACGCCGTTGCTTCCTCCGACGCGCGCCGCGCCCTGGTAGCCACCGCTGCCGCCGAATCTGCCGCCGCTGCCGCCGAATCTGCCGCCGCTGCCGCCGACTCTGCCGCCGCTGCCGCCGCCGCCACTCCGATCCGTGATCTCGCCGTCGCCGCTGCTGCCGGGACAGTCGTTTCCATCCGCCGCATTTTCTCGGTCGCCACCGCCGGCGGCGGCGTCGTTTCCGGCACCGTTTCGCAAATCGCAGGCGTGCGTATCGACCATCACTGGCGAAAAAAAAGCAGCCGCGAGTGGACGTGGAGGATCGAGAATCGTCGCATGCGATGATGCGACATCGGCAGGATGCGGCGGCGACTTTCTGATCGCGGAGAGCAATGATTGGTTCGCCGCGGCGTGCGGGGCGCAATGGCTCGGCTCCGGCGCAAGGCTCCTGCGCGAACGCCGCCGGGCGGGACGGGGGAAGGCGGGAAGGGGGGAGGTAAGACGTGAGGACGTGGAAATTTGGGGAGGTGGGACGCGGGAACGCGGGAAGGTGGGGAACGCGGGGACGCAGGGAGGTGGGAACGCGGGGACGCGGGGAGGTGAGGACGCGGGGACGCGGGGAGGTGAGGACGCGGGAACGCGTCGAGGTGAGGACGCGGGGAGGTGGACCGAGAAGAAGAAAGAAGTGTGTAGCCTTTCCAGAACTAGGAGTTTACAACGATGACGAGTGGAAGTGCGTGTGGTTGGAGAGAGAAAGAGTTGGTTGGTCGCGCCGCGCAAGGAGACACGGCGGGAAATGAAGAGACAAGGAGAGACGGCGGCAGGGACGAGGAGGAAACGGCGGAAGTGGGAGGAACGACGAGCCGTTGCGAGCACAGTGCATAGCGCGATTCGAGAGGGCTCCTCTTGGAAGGCACACGTACGGTAGCATGCGTTGGGTGTGAGAGAGAAGGCTCACTTGTGCATGTCGTGCATTTGTCGCTCGATGGCCTTCTCGATCGCCCAGATCGTCGTCATTCCGTCGTCATGCGACGGGAATGTTACACGCGGAAGGCGGTTGGGGGAGCCAGCTGTGGTCTGGTCGCGTTTCGTAATCTTGTGCCTCAAAGCGGATACTGCCTCTGCGACTGTCCCTCGTGGGCTGGCCGCTGTCTCGCGTAGCTGCGCGCCCGCCATATGGAGAAAAGCGTTTCGAAAAAGGCACCGTCTGGTGCTGCGTCTCGTATCGTTCGTAGGCTTGGCCCTTGGGAAGGTTCTCGCAGCGCCTGTGAATTATCTCAGACTATTCTCTATATGTTATCTCAGGGGATGTGATGCGCAAGGATGATTTCATCTCCGACATTCGTGTGTTATAGGGAGTAGGAGGCGAGGAAACAAGGCAGGGAGGGAGGGAGGTGTGTCAACAGTGCATTCTTTTGTACTGTATGGACACTGATGCGACCCTTCCGAATTGTGTGGGGTTTTAGGACGTGGCCCAGACCGCTTCTGATTGCCTCGATCAGAAGCGATCAATAACTTCCAGGAAGCCCCAAGGCCAATTTCAGGCAATCGGGGGCAATCAGCTGATCGCGATCAGCTGATCGCCCCATCTCGATCAACCGCCTCAAACACCCCAATCAAACACAATCACACACAATCACGCACGATCAGTTGATTGCGTTGGGTTGCACCCCTATGCGACGCCAGCGAAACGTTACAGTGTTCGTCTGGGTTTCGAGTAGCCCTCGCCTTACCTCCACGACTGCAAGAACTTTCTGGAGTTTGTGGAGCCGTCGTAGCGTTGCTGTCTCCCTTTGCGAAATTACAGGGTGACACAGGTGTCGCTGGAGCAGTGCTCATGCCTTTCGCTGTCGCCAAATTTGGCCCGAAGCTGGTGGGAAATGTGTTTGTGCTTGCCATGCACCATCCCATCACATTCGAGGAATTTCGGCTCTGATCGGGCGGCACGCGCCGCGCGATCAAAGTCGCCCCGATCAGATCCAACCCGAGCAGATCACTGCCGATCAGACCCGGTCTGGGCCACGTCCTTACCCGAAAGTTAGGGCGTGGGCCCAAACGGGTTTGATCGTGATTGCTATAATCAAGTTGGATCTGATCGGGTTGCTTGTGATCGTAGTGCCCGAGCCGCCCGATCAGAAATGATTTTCGGAGAAGGCTGTCAGCGCCTGCTCAGCAAGCGCGATACATTTGCGTGGCATTTTCGTCACCATTTTAGCGAGATTGACGACCAGGCTTC